CCCAAACACGTACTCGTCACCTCGCGTACACGGCCTTCACATGACACAATTTGCACAAAGGACTCGAATCCTAAGGAGTAGTTCCCCCACACAAAGTTAGGCAAGATACCTACCTCAAAGAAGCTAGACCGATACTCTAAAATGACCTTCTCAAGAGAAACAATCTCCGGACGGCTAAACTCTAGCCAAAATAACTTCAAATCATAAATAAAACTCATAGGAAATAATTTCGTATAATAAAGCTTCAATCTTTAATAATAACTAAAAGTCAACCCAAAAGTCAACCACCCGGCGCGCGTCTCGGAACCCGACCAAAATTATAAAATTGTCTCGCGAACACTCATTCCGATACGAGTCCAACCAAACTAAATTATCAATTTCTGACATCAATTCATCCTTACATGTTGAAAGATTTTTACAAATTTTCTTCAAATTTCCAACTTAATTCACTAATTAAATGATGAAAATAGTAATGGATTCATGAAATATAACAAGATTCGGGTAGAGAACACTTGCCACAATGAGTTGCTTGAAAAACCCATGAACAATCTCCCAAAACCGAGGTCTACAACTCCAAAAATGAATAAATCCTCAGAAACCTTAGACAATATAGAGTCTGCCTAGGCCTGATCGCACATGCAACACAATTAGCCGCTTCTGCTACGTCGCTTTTGCGACAAATGACTCGCGCTTGCGAAGCCCACTAACCAGCTGCCCTATTGCACCTGTGGACATTCTTCCGCTTCTGCGCAACCACATGTGCGCATGGCCAAATCGCTTTTGCACTCCAGCTCGCCTCTGCGTCTAATATTTAGATTCTGCGGAGTCGCAGATGCGTACCAATTTCCGTATTTGCGAAGACTTCCAAGCCCAGCCTTTCTCACTTCTGCACCTTTATCTTCACAACTGCGCCCAGTGGTCCACAGATGCGGCCACACCAGAACTCATCCCAAACCAGCCTCACCCAAAATGCTCCAATTGATCCGAACCTCGTCCGAAACTCACCCGAGCCCCTCGGGACCTCGTCCGAATATACCAACAAGTTTTATAACATAACACTGACCTTCTCGAAGCATCAAATCACATCCAACAACGTCAAAACTACGAATCGAACCACGAATTGAACTTATGAATTTTCAAATCTTCCAACTTCCAAAACTCGTATCGAAACATATCAAATCAACCCGTAATGACGTCAAATTTTGCATGCAAGTTCCAAATGAGATAACAGAGCTAATCCAACTCTCAAAATCGTATTCTGACCCTGATATCACCAAAGTCAACTCCCGGTCTAACCTCTCAATCTTCCAAAACTTCAATTTTTTAATTTTCATCGAAATACTTCAAATTACCCTACGAACCTCTAAATCTAAATACGGACACACGAATAAGTCCAAAATCACCATACGAAACTATTGAAATTATCAAAATGCTATTTCAGAGTCATCTGTACAAAAGTCAAAAATCCGGTCAACTCTTATCGCTTAAGCTTGTAAAACAAGAATTCCTCTTTCAAATTAACCCCGAATCATCCGAAAATCGAACTCAACCACACACGCAAGTCATAACACATAATACAAAACTGCTCGAGACCTTAAGCCACCGAATGGGATGCAAATTCTCAAAACAACCAGTCGGGTCGTTATAATTTTCTAATTTAAACTTCTAAGTCAAGAATCAAGGGTCCAAATCAACCCGAAAGCTTCACGGGATGAAAGTAACCAACCCCGCGAGTCATAAAAGTATAAACACACATGTGTGAAGCAATGAAAGGGGTAACGAGGCGAAATTACATAAAATGACCGATCGGGTCATTACAGATAGCAACAAATAAACCTTAGCATATGCATTCGATACACACTTTCCTTTTAATTATGTCATACTTCAAAAATATTCAAACAAAGACAATATGTTCATAACAATACTAGCCTCAAAAATCTACTTAATGTCACAATGTACTCATGGCTTGAGCATCCAACATCATAGAGAAGTCTAATAACATTACCTATCCCTCGTGAAATAATGTGTCGCCACAACAAAATTAAGGAGAGTAAGTAGAATCTACACATTTAAATCTCATGCTCAAATATAATTTAACAACACACATATATCTAAAAAAATCTCTCACTCTCACAAAGAAATCGCATGTATGCACAATGTATTATAGGCTTGCCTATTATATAAACCTCTACTAATATTGGATCGCTTGATCTAAAATCAATTAGGACTTTTTTTCATGGTTGTAATGTGGGCTATGAGATGTGCAGGATATATTTAAGAATTGTGACTAACCCTCCTAAGTACTTTAACATATCAAAAAATTAATTTTAAGTGCATATTTTCTCAACCAATTTTAATCTCACAAACAAGATCATCCCTAAAAAATGTTCTTCTTTCATTAAGCACTTCTTTAATTCATACCCACTAGCAATGAGTCAATTTATTTATCAACAACCTTTTCTTTCTTCTACACTTCCCGCTAGTGGTGCATTTCTTACAATACAAGTGCACCTTTATTTCTTTCATTGGTTCAACTCAAAAATTACCCAAGTTCTCTCCTTACTTCTTGTAGAGCTCATTTTATAATTAAAATTCTTTAAAAGATAAAAGGATCAAAATAATATTATTTAAGAATAAAAAAGGTATAGGCTGGTAACGTGGGTGCTAAATAAAAGTCTCTAATCTCAAAAGAGTTAACTAGGAGTAGTTTTTATTTGTGATAAGCAATAAAGTTCAAAAAGATCAAAGAAAGCCTAAAATCATTTTTCAAACCGAGCATCACCTAAAATCTAGCTTCAACTCACATGTCGGGCAAGTTCTAGACTCAATTACAATAATATGGACTATACAAAAATCTCACTATATATGAAACATGACTCACTATGGATGGTTCCATTCCGACTCTCAAGTTAATGTAAGTATTCACGGAGCCATAAGATATTAAGCATTAAGCACAAAACGAGCATAAGTCAAGGAAACGAGACATAGGCGTCACCAGACATGTAATCCAATTTATAAAGGCATCATGAACAATTAGAATATGTAGGAAAGATACTACATATGTCAAAACCTCAATATACTACAATTAAACAAGTCAAAGAGCCTTGGAATCTCATATTTCTTCATCCTTTTATTACCTAAGTCCTAATCTACTAAAAAGAAATTAAAAACTACGACCCAATTCAAACTACATCCCATGGAAAATAACCGAGGCACAAAGAAAAATCACGGGGGATTATTACTATATATGAAAATTAAAAGACATATTTTTGTATTTTTCATTTTTTCAAATTTTTTATATTTTCGGTTAGACCTTAATCCCTCAAGAAAACTGTCTAGATGATCCATCGTCGGGAAAAGTCCAATTTTTTCTACTTTTTTTGATTTTCTATATTTTTGATTTTTTTTTAATTAGGCTACTTCAAAATTAAACTAAAAGTACTACAGTACAATTTTTTCATGTTGTTTTTTTATCTAATTAATCAATTCCAGAAAAAGAAAATCTAATCTAAAGCTAGACTATGCAAATAAATAAATAAATAAGAAGCTAAAATATACTAGTATGCTATTTACATACCAACGAAAAACTCCCATTCCACACTTAAAGCATACAATGTCCTTAGTGCATAAAAAAAATTAAAATCAAGAAGGGTGGTAAGGAAACTCCCTGGTCATTCTTAGTCATCTCCCTCGTCATAGAAGGCTCTCTCACCTGCCTCCCAGTCATCATCATCAGCTCTATCATTATTATCATCATCATCATTGGCCTCCTTCTCGGGATGCTCTAGCTCAGGCTATGAATGCTCGGAGGTGTTCACATATTCATCCTCAAGCAACGTTTGGCCCTCACCAATCCCAACCAGACGTTGGGCATGAGCACTGAGCGAATATCACTCATTCAAGGTTGCGGGCTCCTCTGGAGTAGCTGGTCGCTCACCAATTTGCAATTGCAAGTCAAGCATCCCATAGAAGTGGGCCATGAAACTATCATCACGAGCCTGACGCTCGACACCGGTAAGTGCAGACCCATCATCATCTTCCTTTTCCCGTATGCTCGTAATTCCTATCCCTGAAATTCCGGCTCCTCATCTACCTCCTTCTTCCTTAGGTATTATATCAGCATATTTGCAAAGAACAATCTATCCACCTTTTTGCTTCTCCTCACCTATGCCATGGTGTATCAAATGACCCACATTTATCTTTTGGCATGTTATCATGAAATACAACACGCACACCCTTTTGTTGACACTCAATTTTGCCCTCATGGTTCTCTGTTTAGCCTTTTGTGGGTTGGTATATTTTATAATATATATTTTACATATTTTAGGTATTACTTAAGCATCAATTTACCACCTTCATGGTACTTCTATAATTATTATCAAAGATTTACAAAGAAAATAATTTTTTACCAATATTATAAGTTTTTTAAAAATTAATTATAGCATTTATAAGGGATAAATAACGTATTTGTTATTTCCTTAAATTATTTATGAGAAATTTATATTTTTATAATACTATATGCATATTTAATAATATTTTACATCACTTTATACAATTGCATTTGTATTTTATATCATTTACGTATTATTTGCAATAATAGCCTATATGCAACAATAATTATATTTATCATGCTATTTAGGTGAAAATGGTATTTTTACATTTTTACAATTATAATATACTATTTTAAAAGTGTTTATTTTGAAAATAGAATTTTTATCATTTTATAGCCATTTGTTTTTAATTTATTTTAATTAGCTTTCATGTGTTTTAAGCTTATGGCCTAATTAAGCCAATTTTCGGACTAAACAAACCTGAAAAGAACATGGCCCAACAACCTAAACCCAACACCCGCAACCCAATGCCCTTTAACCCATCTATCACCCGTTATACGCCTGCTTCGCCCTTAAAATCTCAGCCGTTGATCCATTAAGATCAACGGCCCACAACAACCCCCTCGTCTTCCTTATATTGCTTCATTCAAACCCCAATCTTTATTCTCACCCCACATCCGCCTCTTAATCTTCTATACTTCCTTCCCACTCTGTAAAACCCTAGCCGTCTCACACTCAAACTTTCTCTGAATCCGACCTGACCATGGAACCTTTTCATGATTTACTTGCCTTATTCATGTTATCTCGTCATTACCCACACGTTCATGGCATTAATTAGTACTTGCCCAATTTTGAAAAGTACTATCTTTCAAAATCGGGCATAACCAACTTAAATCTTTGGAATTTAGATGATATTTCATCTATATACATGTGATGAGAATTCACTCTTGTACTCATAGGTCGATTTACAATCTTGGAGCCCTAACTAGGGTTTGAAAGTTGATTTCATTCCTTTGCGTGTTGTTTCACTGATTGCATGTGATTTTTTTTTTCCTTGTTTGTGTTTGATTTGATTTCTTTCCTTGTTTATTCGCCTAATAATATACTATATAAACCCCTTTCCAATTCACCTTGAGATAGACTTTAGTCATCATATCTCTCACTCACATTGGTTCTATTTTGTTTTGATTCTCTAAATAATACTGTTGTTTGATTGTGTTCTTGGCCGGCTGAAAGACAAGGCCACTTTGGTATCATTCAAAGCTTCCTCCGATACAAGCACTGCTCGAAGCCCTTTGAGGCTTCTGCGAACTCTGAAGCACGGGAGACCTTGGGGTTCTCACTGCTCTCCTTTACTCGCTGCTACTGAACTACTGCTGAAACTCTGATTTCCTCATTTTTTTCTCATTTCTCTTTGCAACTGGTTAGTGCTATTGAATTCTACAGTTTACTTGTTACATGAGTATGTTTAGATTATACCTTCACTTGTTCGTATTTATGTGCATCTGTATGGCACTACTGTCTGAACTCTTATTAAAAATAGAAAAGCATGACTTAGGTTTCTCTGAAATTTGTGAGTCAAATTTTGTATTGTGTTATATACTTTGCTGCAATTTCATTGTCAAGGTATTGAGGATTCGTGTCTTTAAGTCTACTTGAGATTTAATACCTCATATGTCATCTCTGTTACATATAATTATACTTTCCTATATGTATATAATGGATTAGAAGAACTCCTCTATTCTTTTGAGAATTAAGTGAACACATGCTGTTTGATTTGCTAGTTTCTATAATTATAAACCACGAATATAAGATTGATTTGCTTTAGACTTTCATGATAAACCTCCCCTGTAGGACTTCTATGTTCTTATGATTAAGTCTAAACTATGTGTATACATGACGTTTGCCTTACAGTTTCATGACCTTTCCTGTAAGAATTTATGTTTGATCTTGTGCCTGGAACTAAGTCTTGAGCATTATAGAGGACTTGTCTTTAAGGTATTCTGGTAGATGTTTGTTTCCTGGACATATGTGATTATGTGTTTCCTTTTTGTGTTGCATTGAGGGCATATGCTCGTAAACTTTTCATGTGATTGGTAAAGTTGCTCTTATCTTGACTATGTGCTCATTTGATTCAAGATCTATTAAATTTATGTGACTACATTTACTCTCTTATTCATGTTAGAAATCATGTCTAGGATTATGATTATTTACGAAGGCTTGGGAACTTATCTTTGACATGATAAATTGCTTAAAATGACTGTAGTCACCTAAAGATTTAATTAGCACATATTCGTATGATTCTTTTTATTAAGTCCTTATGAAATTTTTATCTGTAATCCTTGAGCATATGCATACATTTTGAATAAGGATAATTGATTTAGACTGAGATTTTTGGCACGAAAGCTAAAGCATGCGGGCGAGATACAGTTATGACACACAGGACATGATGATCAAATATTGATTTATGTTGGATGCTATTATACCCCTTTTTGCACTTGGATTTTGATCCATCTCTCTGGAGTCAAGCGATTATCCATGTTACTTTGCGCCCTTTAAGCGTGTGGTTGGTAAATAAACTTTGTACTAGGTCAATATATAGATTTTGTATCGGGTTATTTTAATACATAAATTTGTATCAGAATATATGGATCTTGTATCATGGTACATGGATCTTGAACGAATTTGAGCATGCATTCATATTATTGATACATTTAGAAGCATTCATTTAAATGCTAATTGTTACATGGCATGTATACGTGCTAGTTGGGAGCCTCAACTCTATTGTTTGAAGCATGCTACCTTTACTTGTCGTACTTGGGGCGTTATGGTTATCTACTGAATTGGAAAAGCATGTTTTATGTCTTTGGCTATTTTTTGTCGTGATACCTGTTGATCATGAGGATATTTACTGTTCCAACTCCAGACTTGTTATTTTTTCTGTGTTGTAAGTGTTCGGATGCATCTAGCCTCGCCACCACTTTTTTGAGATTAGACTTGATACTTACTGGGTACCGATAATGGTGTATTCATATTATGCTTTTGCATATTTTTGTGCAGGTCCTGAGGATGGTATTGCGGTACTCTTTGATCTGAGTAGGAGTGTGTTGTTGAAGACTTCGTGGTGAGCTACAATAATATTTCGATCCACAACACATGAAGTCCCCGTCCTTATTTATCTTCTATCTGTTTTCTTTGTCACAAGCAATTGTGATTATGTATTCTGACATGTACCATTCAGCAGTTGCTCGTGTACTTGTGTCACTTAGTTCTTGGAGTTGTATTGTTTCGGTCGTAGTTAGACTATGTAATACTTGTATCAATTTTTTTACCACCTTGACATTATTCCTGCTTTTATTATGATATAACTATGTTAAATAAAGAAAATTAGACTATATTCTGTTAATTGTGAGTTTGCTTGCTTAGCAAGTACAACTAGGCGCCATCACGACCTGAGATAGGATTTCAAGTTGTGACAAGAAGTCGCTTTTTTATTAGAGAAGAGTTAGAGAAAGCATGATCTTATCTCTATGATTAGGGGGCGAATTTGTGGTTAGGATAGAATTATACCTAGTCACCATGTTTAGTTAAATACCATGATTTTAATGCATTCTTGGTAGATTAATTTCATAGAAATATAGGCGTTAATCATCCTGAGCAGGCGAGTAGTAATTCGAAGGAATACTATATAATCCGGTCAATTAGCAACCACAAATGATTCAAATTGAAGGGGAATTAACTAGAACTCAATAGAATTGGCCACAACCTTGGAATATTCATCTCTACTGAAATAATTCTAAACAATAATCCTCTGTTGTCTTAGTCTAATTTCATGTTTTACTTGTGCGTCCTTAGTTTATCAACAAATACTCAACCTTTGATCTGCTTGGTTAGATAACGATTTTAGTTGATTTAGTAGGTTGTTAACGACGAGTCTCTTTAGGTTCGATACTCTATTCATCACTTTATTATTTGTTGACCACGTATACTTGCGTGTACGATTAGGAGCAATAGTAAACATTCTTTGTATCACGATTTAAGAATAAAAACTATCACTACTAGAAATTCGTCAAAAACCGACCAAGGTCGACCGACCAACTTTGGTCGGTCAAAAAACCGACCAAAGTTGGTCGGNTCAAATAAAATAAATAACAATTAATATTAAAAAAACCGACCAAAATTGGTCGGTTAATTTGGCCGGTCATTTAAAAAGGCAGACCAACTTTGGTCGGTAATTTTACTTTTTAATAAAACCGACCAACTTTGGTCGGTTATTTTCGTGCGAAAATATAATTAAAGAGTATAAATCAAATAAAAGACAGTCTTAAAACAAAATGCACCAATGGTCTAATAGTAGAATAGTATCCTGCCACAGTACAGATCCCGGTTTGATTCTCAGATGGTAAATCTTTTGATTACATAACTAAAATACCGACCAACTTTGGTCGGTTTCTTTTTTTGCAATTTTGTTTTTTTGAATTTAATTGACCAACCAAAGTTGGTTGGTAATTTTCGACCAACTTTGGTCGGTATTCCTTTCCGACCCCTAAAATACCGTCCACAAGTAAATGATCACGTTTTGGTCGGTTATTGGCCATTAACGACCAACTTTGGTGGGTTTTTTTGGTCGATTTTTACCGGATTTCTAGTAGTGATTTTCAATACGAAATGATTGGAGTATCAGCAAAGAAGAAAAATATTTAACTCTTTCATGGTTCTAATATAACTTGCAACACAAATTCAGAAATAGATCTAAAATATTTATTAGATGTTAATTCTGTCCGATACTATGTGGTCTTGTTGTCTTTCTAAAAGTCAAACCAATATACTATATACATATTTTGTTAGATATATGGAGTTATATGATATTTTCATAATCTCATGTAAACTTTCTCTGGATTTAGTCAAATGATTTTGGGCTCGTGCTTTATGTTTGAAAAGAACGGGTCCCTTTTTTGCAAAGTAATGTTATTGAAGTTTTAAGTCTTTTATATGATTTGTACTATTATTTGTGATAGTGGAATTGGGACATAAAATTTCTGTTGATAATTTTGATAGTTTGTACATTAGAACGCCTCTAATTTCACATGTTACCAAGCTTAATGTACTGTATACTTTTATAGACGTCTTACTCAATAGGAATAGAAAAAGAATAGGTTATAAATGGAATGTTTACTTTTCTCGTGTAAGAAAAGTAAAATAGTTAGTACAAACATAACAAGAAAGGAGATATAATTTTTGGCCGTGCGAAGCGCGGATACAATATCTAGTCAATGAAATATCAACAAAGTAGGCCAGCACTAATCATCTCTATTTAACTTTCTGAGTACTAAAATAATAAATAGTTGCATGCCAGCGTTTTTATGATTGAGAAGTCTTTTAGTCAAAAAGCATATTGGACGTTAACATAATTGGTACTCTGGATCTGATATAATCAATTAACCAGGTTAAGCAGAAATCCATAATAACATTGAAAAACAAATTAAAGTTAGAAATATGGTAGACATAAATGAGGCGAAAAGGTTGTCTTGTCCCGAATAACATATACAACCTCTGTTTCATTTCTTTATTAGTATGTTTCAAAAAAAAATTGACAGTTTTCAATCTCTTTAATAAAAAAATATTTATAGTCACAAAATTACTATAGCAGATTTAAGAACACAAGTTTCAGAAGGTTTACAGCCACACAAATGATATGATTTATTTAAGGAACATATCTCAAAAGTATTCTCTTCTTTATTAAAGTTTGTACCAAGTCAAATTAAGATAATCTTTTTTAAACAGAATATGTGGTATTTGAGCAAGAAGCCAGAAAATGAAGTCCCATGAATACATTGACCTTGGACATGGTTCAAGTTTTGAGTTAAAAAGCAGACACATTAAAGAACCGACAAAATTCAGGGGAAGTCCACTATATGATAGTACTTAAACAATTATAACCAAATTAAAGAGAAAAGTCTACCCTAAGATACTAATATAATTATAACAAAAATAACTTAACTTGGGAGGACAAAACATTTAAAGAGTGATATATCGTCAAATTCATAGTTAAAATTACTTTCAGTAAAAACCATATTACTCTCTTCTACTTAAAGGCGTTGAATATTTGAAATTAGATGGTCATCACTCATGAAACACGATGACTAATCATGTCTTCCTACAGAGTTGCGTCAGTCCTACGGTGGAATCTATTCAGCAATTTTTTCTTGTTTCTTCGCATGCAATTAGTGACTGGTTTTTCTTTACAAAACAACAACAACAACAACAACAATAACAACCAAATATAATTTTACTAGTGAGGTATGGGGAAGATAGTGTGTAGACAGACTTTACCCCTATCCTGAAGTAGAGAGTCTGTTTCCGATAAACCCTCGACTCCCTCCCTTCAAGAACTTCTCACCTTGCTCTTGGGGTGGGGGAGGAGTACGGGAAGAAGGATATAGTATGCTACTGATGAAATTTGAACCCTTCATCTCAACTGTGAATGGCAAAGAACTCACTTAAGTTTAGTGAGCTAGCTCTAAACCCGTAATTACCTAGTGATTGAAGCCTTCCTGCTTTTGTATAAGAAGTGAAATTGGTGTCCTACTCCAAATCCTATTAGTGTACTGGTGCTTTTAATAAAACAAATCAGCCTGAGCCATGTTGCAAATGTTAAACCCAAAAAGAAACGAACTTAATTACTTTTCCCTAAGTTGACACGTTTCAAGTATTAGACACTAAGGGATAAAACTACGAATAATCTTTAACTTATTTCACAACTACTTAAAAGCATATACTCCCTATGTTTTAATTTATGTGAACTTATTTCCATTTTAGTCCGTACAAAAAAGAATGATTTCTTTCCCTATTTGGAAATAATTTGTCTTTATGCAATGATTTATAGCCACACAAAATATATGTGCCTCATTTTACACTACATATTTAAAAGTCTTCTCTCTTTTCTTAAACTCTGTACCCAGTTAAATGAGTTCACATAAATTGAAACAGAGCGAGTATAATTTTTCATTGCCGAAGTTACCCTAGAGACATTAGCAAATAGAGAGCCACCTTTTGTTGGGTAATATGATGAGAAACAACTTTCACTTGAACATCATACTCCCAAATCGAAAAGCACGCATGTTTAACTAACCTATTTTAAACGATAGAAACGTTAAAGATTTCCATCGAAGAATTGACCAGATACATCACAATTGTTGCAGCAAAAGGTTCTAGCGTGTCTTTTTTTTTTACGTTGGATGATAATTAAACTTACTTCCGAGAAAATAGTACTCAAGTTTTTCATATGGAGAATACTTTTTCTTTAAAGTTCATTGAAATGGGATACTTGTAATTTGTGTGGTTTTATTTAAAATGCACGTGGCCAAATATATTTTATAGGTCATTCTTGTTTAAGATATTCAAATTTATTTCCTTTCTCCTTGCGTGTTCCATTTTAAACGAAACTCGATGAAAGTGAAACCCTCGTTAAGGTGGAACGCGTCTAAAATATTATTTTATTAAATCATATTTGATTAGACAAAATTAATATAATAGTAATAGGGATAGAAGTGGCCTTAATTTAGTAACAATTGCGGGTAGTAAATTGTTTAAACAATTACCATGTGCAAGTAGAATGAAGAAGGACTTTAATATATTTAAAAACCTTTCACGGCTTTTAAATGATACTAATTTTTAGGCACTATGAGTTGCGCGTGTGCCCCATATTAGCTAATGCGTATAAAGTTTTAATAATTACATAAATATTATTAGACAATGTGTTTGAGTTACAAAATTAAAATATGTGAATTTCTTAAACTGATGAATGTTTATCCACTTTCTTGTTATATAAAATAATTGAAAGTACTTATAAAAAGTTAAGTTAATTAGAGTGAGAGAACATATGTTATTTAGATGTCTAAATTCTCGAATTCAAAATGATTGAAATATCCTAGGAATCTGAATAATTCAAATTTAAATCAAACTAGTAACACCTTTTGTCCCAATTTATATGAAGGTATTTAACTGACCACAGAGTTTAGGATGAAGGAAGACTTGTGAAATTTATGATTTAAAATAAACCATTAAGATTTGTGTGACTATAAATCATCTCATTAACAGTAAAAAGGAAAAAACAAAGTTGACTTTTTACTAAATTTAAAAATGTATTATTTTTTTTGGGCCTAGCTAAAAAGAAAAATAAAAGTACATATAAAAGTTAAAGATCAGTCGAGTGAGAGAATATGTGCTATTTAAATGATCAAATTATCGCATTCACAATGATTGAAATATTCTAAAAACCTGAGAAGATGAAATTCAAATCAAATTAGTTGTATAACGTAAGTGAAAGTACATATAATTCGAGTGAGAGAATATATGCTATTTAAATGATCAAACTCTCACATTCAAAATGATA